GTATGAAAGAAAATTAAGTAAGAAATGCTTTCATAAAATCATTAAAGACGTGGAAAAGGGGTTACCATGAGTTTTGGCTTCCCATCGGCCCTTTGATAAGTCACGCCACAAACGCTCGGCATACATAGAGGTCGAGGCCAGGTCCCAAACCCAGCTCTTGAGGTTAGGAATTGCACCGGGCATCCAAGCGACCACTACATCACGGAAAAGGATATCAATGAGAAGAAGCAAAGGAGCAATACAATTAATAGGAGCTAACAGGGGGATTGTACTTACGCTTCATATTCCATTTCTCAGGAAATGACATCTTCTCAGTCGGGATTAGGTCGGAAGTCCTCACTCGAATGAACCGGCCCATCCAACTTTGCTCCTTGTCCTTGTCTATGCTCTAGAGCAGCACTTTAGTAGCTCGGCGTTGGAGTTTTATTAACCCACCTCGATAGAGGCGGGGACTATATAACCTGATGAGGTTGTTGGGGGTGAAAGGCACCCCCTCGACTTTGCTCACAAAGAATCGGAGCAGAATTACAATTCGCCAAAAGAAAGGATGGATTTGGCCTAGGGTTATTTGATACTGACGGCATAAATCAACAACAACGGGGTCGAGGGGGGCCAACGTGAAAGGGTAAGTGTAAATACTTAGAAACCCTTCCACATGGGTGGTGATGTCCTATTCGGTGGTCGGAATCACCACCACTTTGCCCTCCCAGTTGCAATCTTTCTTTACCTTCTTAAGGTATTTCTCAGTTATCGAGCATATATACATCGACACTGGCTCGCATCGACCGGGAACCGACGAGGCTTTATCGGTCTTAAAATCGAAAGTAAGGACACACCCCCCGGGAACACACTCCTCGGGGAATGGCTTCGCCGGTGTCTTGTCGCCGACCGGCCGCGATGAAGAAGCATTTTCCTTTTGAGGAATAATTTTTGATGTTTTTGCCATTTTTATATGGATTTGAAGTTAAAAATAGATGGAGATGATAAGATTTGGTATTTTGAGAAGAGGTTAGCAGTGAAAATCGTAGATTTGCAGATGAAGAAATTAGAAGATATAAAAAGCTTTGGAGATTGGAAATCTGAAAGTAAAGTTCAAAATGGTGGAGAGAGGGGCTATTTATTAATTTCACAACGACGGTTTAATATTGGCGGTGGCCGATCATCGACTGACGTGCATTTAGTGCCTTGGTAACTGTACAGACGGGACATTTCAGTCACTTTCGTCGCTTACGTCACAAGGATGACATCATGACAGGTCGAGATAGAAAATCGAAGACTCAATTCGTTTCTTGTCATTACACTCCAAAAAAATGAGGGGACTATCTGTATACTGTTAATTTTACTATTTGACCGAGATCGGGAGTTTGCATCGAAGGATGGCCTCGTAACGGAATAGGCCATATCACGAGGATAAGGTACCGAGTTCAGAATCGAGGTACCTGTCAAGATCGAGCCTAGTAGAGATCGAAGCCAAACAAGACAGACATCGAGCAAGATCGAAGATAGCACAATAACAGAAAGGCGAGATATCCGTGACTGGTCGAGGATCACGACATAAATCTCGGTGACTGGTCGAGGATCATGGCTTAAATCTCGGAACGAATCAAATCAGAAACGGTTAATTAGCTAATCATAGGATTTTCTTCTGTAATTAGAGTTATACCATAAGTATAACTCCTCTACTATATAAAGGGGAGTATTAATCATTTGTAACACATTATTCTCACGTAAAAAGCCAATATAAAGCTCTCTCTTTAGCTTATACTTTTTTGTTCATCATCTTGCTTTATTTTTAACTATTTTGGTATCAATCAGTTCGAGGGCACCCTAGCTCGAGGGTTGAATTCCGTTTCAATATTGGTTCGCTTTATTTTATAGTTCATTTCTGTTATTAATCTTCATATTTGTCTATCGGTATTAAGTGAAATCGCCTATTCTTAGAACCTCATTATAAGTTTAATTGCTATCAAATTTCAAGGGTAAATAGTACTGAATATCTTGAGTTTATATCTCTCTGTCCCAAAATTAAAAGCATAAAAGAAAATATATTTTACGTATTTAGTTCATGATAAAGATCAAATCCATTCGTGAGGAGATATAGTGAAACACAATCTATTTTACGTAATTAGAAATGAAGTATCTTTGATAGCTTAACCTTTTTAGGTTGTATGGTCACTCGATTCAAGCTCTAATATAGGTATTTCCAGTGTTAGGCATATTGTTAATTTGCTGGTCTCGCCCAAATTTAGACACGCTAAGATGGATTGAGTTATGAATGAATCATGTGATTCAACTGCATCAAAGCTTGTCGGCATCAATTTACGTTAAACAAAGAGTTAAAATACAAAATAACAACTATGAAATTGAGTTGCTATATAGTTTTCTACAACCTTCCTTTTTGCTCCACCTTTCCTCGCGTCCCTAATAAACTTCTACTCTCTTCTTTTTTCTTTTATACTAGTTAAGTACACGCTGTTGTAAAAATATTAATAATGATATTACCAGAGCGTACGAAATTAATCTCATATATATTGGCACAAATAGACGTCTAAATTTGTCATATCTAATGCTTTCTGTTAACCTGTCAAAGCATAAATAATTGGAAAATTCCACGCTACAAAGAGACGGAATTCTAGTGAAGTGGTGGACGAACTTGCAAAATTTGGAAGAAATCTAGACGTTTTTGAAAGCTTAAGCTTTGTGATGTACTCTAATTATGTATATTCATCTTTTGAACATGATTGTCTAGGTACCATGTATCCTAGCGGACCTAGCCAAATAAAGCTATATATGTACTAATCCTTAGTTACTATTAATAATAAATGGAATGAGATTGCGGGAAGAATTTTCCAAATTGTGTTGAACTGACTTTAGAGTTTGCAGGTGTGTGGAAATTCAGAAAAGGGAAAATGCTGTTCAGCTGGCAAAAACTATGGAAATTGGAAAGTATCTCGGTCCTTTCGCTCTCTTTTTAGGATCCGCTTTCACTGCATACTTCAACTTTCCTAGTGCACTTTCAACTCTCTGTTTTGGACTGGCCTGTAGCATACAGTAGAATTTAGGTTAGCTTGCTTTTATTGTCCTTCATTATTGTTTTAAAGATATTTTACACAAGCAGCCTCTTGGAAACGTCTTGTTGGTTTAAAATTGCATGAATATGACCCTGCTAGTGTTACGTTATTTAATGTCCTCAAGAATTTATGCTTTCACTATATGGTTATTCGATTGACAAAAATAGTATTTCAAATTAGCTATCTTAACACATTTTGAGAACAAAGACTTAATTGCCTTTCGAATTTAAAGCTTAAACGTCTAAATAAGTAAGTAATTGAAAGTTGAAAATTATTAATCAATTTCGAGCTATCTTTTAGGACAAGTACCCTTGTATCCGATCACAGTCAAATTTAAATATTCCCTCCAAGGGACAAGTTGCGCTCTTTTTCTTCTTCTTTTCCTCATTAAATAGTATCCCTGAAAAGAGCATATACATTCCGCGATTCTCTCCATCTCAAAAGTGCACACTTATTTGTCCACCTAGCTAAAACAAAATGAAGGAATCTGTTCTGCAATTGATATGTGATTTGATTTTGTTTTATTTTATTACTCCATTGTACGAGTATCACGAACCGATTGTGTGAGAATTGTTTTTTTGTTACATTATTGACATGTGTCTGTTATGCTTTGTTTCAGTACAAAAATACTTTGATATATGCATGGGCGGAGCTAGCCTTCTGCTTACGGGTTCGGTCGAATCTAGTAGTTTTTGTGCAAACCTTATATTTGTCTTGTGAAATTTATGGAATATGTACAAATTATTATTTTAGAACCCAGTAACTTAATAGAACTAGAATCTCGAACCCATAAGTTTTAAATCTTGACCGACATATATATGGACAATAAAACAAAGATTTGATACTCCCTTAACCTAAGATAACTTCGCTTTTGTATAGTTGCCCAAACGTACGGAATTCGTTGAAGAAGTACCTCACAATCATTTTCTGCTGCCTCACTGGCAAAGGGTACAGACTTTTATTCTCTTTTAGATGCAAATACATTGGAACAAGACGCGAGTTGCATAGGAAGTCTTACAATAAATGCAACATCATATATTCAACCTCTAGAACTGCTACTAATTCATTTAAAAAGTTTCTTTTTCTTTTTCTTGATCAGCNTATATACACATACATACTGCAAATACTACAGTTAAAAATTAAAAATAAAGAGGAGATAGTTTCAAAAGTTGTGACCCTTTGGGTTCTTAAAGGGGACAGCAGAATTTGGTTACAATAATTTGATCTTCTATTCCTCTACATGACTACAGTGAAAAGATTAAAGAACTGGGGTATGGAACACGTCTTGTCTCAGTCCTCAGACTACATTGCTTCATTAAAGTTGGGATTTAGGACTATGTGACATTATGTTCAACGACAAAAATTAAAGAATATCTGCCTAAACCAGGTGGGGACCTATAGGGGCGGAGCTAGAGTATCCAGAGCGAGTTCGGCCGAACTCAATAGTTTTGATTCGAATTCTGTATTTGTTTTGAAAAATAAATTGAAATGTATAAATTATTAATTTAAAACTCAGTAACTTAAGGAAATCAAAATTTCGAACCCATAAGTTTGAAATTTTAGCTCCGTCCGACCTGCATAGTACTGACTTACTGTATCCGCAAATGATGACAATATGAAATGTCAATACTTGTGGTGTTAGTTTTAGAGATTGCAAAAACCTGAGTTTGCAAACTCTATTTTTGAGCTTTTGACCCAAAAAATATACTACTTGTTTGAGTTCTTTTTACAGGAAAAGAATAACTTTTTCTGAAGGATTACAAACTTCATTTTTGGAATGTCTGAGAAAATAATCAAAATGGTCCTTAAAGTACAAGAGTTGGATTATTTCAGTCCTTGATATATACCTCTTTATAGAATTATGCAAAAGTTGGACACTTTTGAATTTTGATCCTAAACACTGAACTAACGGTACAAGTAAAAAAATAGTAAACCAACAACACTCATCTGCATCTCAATTAAGGTGTTAAAACATAAAACAAAGAACCGTTTTCCTTCATTTTGGGAAGTTATAGTTAACACCTGCATCGAGCTAATTACTCTGCCCTGCTGACTGCAAACACTTACCAGGGAATTATAAAAATTTCATTGGTATTAACAAATCAAAAGGTTGGGAGTTTGGTTGATAACCACAATTCAATATATACACTCTGCTATACACCAATGAGCCGAGTCCCAAATCAGTAATACTCTGCTTATACTAATACAAAGGTAATCCCACCACCATACGAATTGGCTTAGGAGGTGAAGGCGGCGGCCGCGGCGGCGTCTGAACCTCTACAACCACCTTTCCTGGTCGGGGAGGCTGACATGGACAAGGCAATGCTATGAATTTTGGAACTTGATCACCTGGCATTAACACTGCCGGCAAGATTTGGCTACGGTTCTGTTTCTCACTCTGTAAAACAGAGAATGAACAAAGTTAATTTTATCCATAATTCCGATATTTACATAACAATTAATTAGACGTGACTGTCTAGTTGGATGAATATGTCACATAACATATGTAAATAAAGGTGTTTTAGCGTAACATAGGTGATATTATTTACACAATTTGAAAGGGAATAGAGTAGTGTAAAAGTTCAATTCCAATCTCTCCATGAAACATGAAAAAGACATTTTTTCATGTAATATAATTAGCTCAACCAAAAAAATAGAACTTATTGTAAACCTAAACTACATACTAAGAGTTTGAAGTAACTATTTATAATGAATCTAATTTAGTAATATATATATATATATATATATATATATAAAATAAACTAAACAAGTTGTTATAACAAGGTTAAATATACTATTAATTTGTAATAGTGTAAACATTAGTTATACTTTCAGTTTATATTATTTATTATTTATATCCAATATATTATATTCCTTTCTCTAGTAATACAACAAACTTATGAAATGGTACGCGCAATACAGTAAACAAAAGAGGGATATCAGATTGTTTACCATGTGGGCGTGTTTGGGTTTCAAGGATGCAGGATGGGCGTCGGCGAAAGATCGACGGCGGAGGGAACGAATTTTTTCCCAGTGATAGCAGCAAGAAAAGATGCCACTCAAGCTGAATATGACAATTAAGAGAACGCCAGTGCCAAGAGGGAAGCCTAGAGATGGCCGAGATGATGACTCCACATTAATATGGGCTGGTGCATAGTACTGAGGACGCTCCATATTTTGTTCTGCAGCAAAGCCAATTTGTAGTACTCACTCCTCTCCACATCCAATGCAGAAGAAAGAATAGAAGAAAAGGATAGTTTTTCAGAGAAAGTTGGCGTCTGCCTAAATAAAGTATAGTATAGGGGCTCTGGTTTAAGAGCAAATTAAAATGGGGAAGGTTGGAAATGAAGGTGGATTTGGTTGAGTTGTGAGGCAGAGAAAGAAGGGGGTGGAGCTACAAATTTATAAACTGAAAGTGTGTACGCGTTAAGGTACACTTGTTGTCCGAGCCATGGTACGGAAGGAAACCTACCTGCTTCGGTGCCAAGCATGATTGCTTTTCCATAGTCTGTTTATTGCCAGTTTCTTTTTTGGAGGTGGTGCATCTAAGTGGGCATTTGGACATAAGAATCTTAAAATTTAGGAAAAAAGTTAGAAAATTAGAGTTGGCGTTGGACATGTATATAATTTTGGATTATTTTTTACTTTTATGAGTGATCTGAAATAAAAATTTTGAAAAATAGTTTTTTGGAGTTTTTCAAAATTTTAAAAAATTCGAAATTCATCTTCGAGTGAAAATCAAAAATTTCATTGCCAAACACTGATTTCGAAAAAAATTAAAAAATATTTTAGAAAAAAAAGAATCTTTTTTTATGGCAAAAACCTATACATATGTTATATGTGCCTTCATTTGCTTGTTTAATACTAGAAGTGTATTTGGTTTGATCAAAACCTATACAATATGAGGCATCCAACTTTGCTCTAGACATGCTTTGTGATTCTACTCCGATATTTTATTTTAAATGACAATTTTTTGCTTTTTAGCCTGTTTCAAAAATATTTAAAAACTCAATATTTTTAAACAGCAAATGTTTCTTTAATGAAATATTTTTACGACTACAGAAATATCAACATATTTAAGAACATATATTCCAATGTACTTTCGGTATGTGGCAACAAAATTTCTATTTTTAGTAAATTATATATCCGGTCAAACATCATCATAAAATTAAAGTACATAAGTATAGATTAGGCTAAAAAGATTTTCCTCTTGTGATGAACTGAATTTTAAGTTACTTATTAGGTAGATAGGAAAGTGCCATTCAGCTGGCGAAAATTATGGAAAGCCACTCCGGCTTTTATGCTGTTTCCACCACTTAAGGACATCAACTTGCTTACTGTACTGTCCATTTGCTGTTCTACACTCCTTTATATAGCATGCACTATAATTTTAAGTTAGGTTACTTTCTTGTCCTACCACATTGTCTCACGGACATGTTTGTTATCTCCTGTTTTATCTTTTAGAATTTCTTTTATTTTATTGTGAGTTTTTTAGAATTCAAGTTTCTGGGAATTCTTTTGTTGTGACAGAGAGCTAATCTACTGGAGTATTTATTTTCTTCTGTTTTATATATATAAAAAAAAACCTTCAAAATCTGTACAACGAACAAAATAACATGTGCTAAGATAATTTATTTTATGTTTCTGATTTTGTTTAGTTGTCCAAACGGCATTTGAAGAAAAGACACCAATCAACATATAGCAAATTGAACAAGAAGTCGCAAAGTTGCATACGAAGTCATGACGAATGTAACATCATCTTGAACCTCTCGAATTAACTTGTAGTAGAAAGACTCAGGCTTCCCGTTAGGACATAGAAGAAAAGTAAAGAATACTAGTAGTAGTATATTAAGTTATTAACTATTGAGTGCAGTCTCCTTCAGGAGTGGTGACCCTTTGGGTTCCTAAAGGCCACAACAGAATTGGCTTGCATTAATTAATTTGATCTTTCTTGTATTCCTCTACATGAATTGACTACATTAAAGAAACTGGGGCATAGAATACGTCTTTTCTTCGACTACTTTGCTTCATTCCAACTGGATTTAGGACTATGACATTATGTTCAACGACAAAAAGTTAAAGAAATTTTACCTAAAGAAAGTAGGGACCCCGCAGAGTATATCAACAAAAGACAGTGAGAGATCTTGAGATAAGTGGCGTTTGCTTTAAAGTTTACAAAAATTGAATTCGAGTTTTCAAGAAAAATTATACGTATACATTTTTTGAGCTACTTTTACCATACAATTAAGGCTTTGTGAAGTTTTGATATGTTAAAAAATGTAAAAACACTAAATTTGGAAATCTTAGCAAACTTACTTTCTTGTACGAACAATAGCTCGAAATAAACACGATTTTAAAAAAAAAAGAACTCAAAACTGAGTTTGCAAACTTGTAAAATAGACATCGGCAATGCATGAGTGGACCATCCACATTGCAGTACAAAAACTCAAAAACTTGATGTTTCGGGAACATATTTTAACAAGCTCAGTGGTCCTGAAAACATATTTTATGTTTGGCCTAACATAAATGCCTGGAATGAGACAGTGAACAAAATCTACTCAAAACAAATAGGGACCAAGCAGAGGTTAATAACAATCTGAAATTTTGACTAGAAGCTAGCCATGAGGCCGGATTATCCAGTTTCCAATACAAAAACTTGAAGTTTCAGGAACATATATATTATAACAAGTTCATTGGTCCACTGAAGAATTGTGAGGTGATTTGTTAAACTAGTCTGGCCTATCCATGAATGTCATAGAAGGAGACATTGAAGTTCAACCATGAAAAAAATAACGATGGTGACTAAGGATATCAAGTTTGGAAATCTTGACAAAAATCTTCTTTTATATCTGTCTCTAGAAATTCAAATCGTTCTCTTTTTCTTTTGTGGAGTAAAATTTCATTTTTCTTAATTTTCATCGACCAAAAAAAAAAAAAATGATCGAGAAAATAAAGTCTTGTACTCCTCTTTGTTATCTGAAGGAGGGCTTGGAGCAATGGTAAAATTATCTTTGTGTGACCTATAGGTCACGGGGTTCGAGTCGTGAAAGCAGTCACTAATGCTTGCATTAAGGTAGTCTGTCTACATTGCACCCCTTGTGGTGCGGTCCTTCCCCGAATCTGCGTGAACGCCTGATACCTTGTGCACTGGGCAGGGACGACTCAATAAACATGGAGGCCTAAAGAAAAACTTTAATGATAGGTCTTTTTTATATATAAAAGAAAAAAGAATCATATATAATTTCATTCAAATTATATTTTTATAGTTTTTCTTATGCAAAGTTAATGCTTGTATTAGGGTAGACTGTCTAAATTTCACCCCTTGTGGTGTGATCCTTCCCCGAGCGCCCGATACCTTGTGCACTGGGCATGGACGGCTCAATAAATATGAAGGCCTAAAGCAAAACTTTAATGAGAGGCCTTTTTTATACATAAAAGAAAAAAGAATCATATATAATCTCATTTAAATTCTATTTTTCTAGTGTTTCTTATGCAAAGTTCTTAATAATTTTATCTAATCCATTTAATTTCTCTTGAGATATGCTTTCTAATTTAATGGTTTTATTGTTTGCTAAAAATTTCAAGGGCACGTTGTGGGATTGTATTAAAGTTTCAACCTTTTTTTTTTTTGATTTATGTATTAGTAATTGAATTCTTTCTCAATTGATAGTCTAAAGAGTGATTCCCAAATTATTATTTTTTTCGTAATTTATGATCAACAATTTAATCTTACTTTTTTTACTACAATAATCTGTACTTTCTCATTTAAAACACTAAATATTCTTCTAAAATAAATTAATATATAACCTATTAGGAAAATTTGGGGCCCCGAAAATAATGAAGCTCAAAGCAACTGGTTTAACAGCTTAACAGCTTCACCCTTGGGCCGGCACTGGCACTGGGCTGCCCTTTATTCCTATTTGTCATTGTACAAGATATCGTTTTTTTTTTCTAGTCACAACTTCTAAATACATTTCGATATATATCAAAAAGTTTCTTTCTTTCTTAAATTTTATGCACAATCAATGAATCAAACACCATGAAAAGAAATGGAAAAAATACTAAACTAAAGTAAGATTGATTGCATAAGACGCACAGAACTGGAAACATGATGATAGCAAAAATATGATGCTCAACTTTTCAGCGGCCTTGTCGTTGATAAGCTTTTGTTGCTTTTGTCATTCGTCTGATAAAAGAACTCTAATTTATTAACCTTGTTTCCGCAATGTGACAGTACTAATAGTACTCCAACTTTTATAATAGATACGGAGTATTTTTTTTGTCTCAATTTATGTGATATTTTTTTTTATTTTATTAAAAAAAGAATGATAAATATTTATCTTTAAATATAATTTAAATATAAACCTCAATTTTACTTCTAATGAGATGATTTACATTCATACAAATATCAATAACTTATTTTAATCTACAAGTATCATAATATTTCTTTTTTTTTTTTTAATAAACTCCGCGACCAATTAAACACGAAAAGAGTATATAATAATAAAGACAAATGTTATTTGAATTTTTCCGGTACGTATACCATAATAGCATTTAAATCCCGATGAAAATTGGGAAGAAACTTAAACATAGTAGTATCAAATGCTAAGGTACTAAATTGCAGTTTAGAAAAGAAAAGAAATGGAGGACATTGATAAAGGCCTAAAAATGCATATTTTTTTTTTTTGTGTACTTTCATCTCATAACTTGTATGGTTACCGCAGGTTACATAAGTTTTTGTAGTAAATTATGCTAATTACGTGCATTCTTATGCATAAGAGCAAGTTGAATGAAAAATTGAGCAAAAGAAGTTGATTCGGGACTAAGAGACAAAAGAAGAACTTCGCTTGTTTACTATAGCGTGCACAAAGGAGAGTGAACAAGCTAGCTGAGGGGAGCTTGAAAACAAAACAATGGGTTATGGTAAAAAGGCATAGAAGTACACGAGAGGCCTAGAAGGAAAAGAAAAAGAGAAGAACTTCGCTCGTTCACTCTCGCGTGCGCACGAGAGAGTGAACGAGCTAACCTAAAAAGGCTGTTCTGAAGTGGGCTTGTATATATTTCGCCCCATGCAAACCATATCACATATAAATAGTCCTTAAATTTACTTTTGAAAGGGAATTCGACCTAAGGAGGCTAGAACACACAAGGAGTAAGGCGGAGAATTCTTCTACGAGTTTTTCACTTTCTTCTTCCTATTTCCATTATTGGTTAGAATTCTAGTATTGTAGTTTTGCATACTATTATGAATAGATAATTTGTTATCTAGGGTTTTGATGGATTCGACATGTTTTGATATAATTGAGTCTTTGAAATTTTCTATTTGTTTAACTACGTGCTTATTTTAGTTAATTGAATAGCTCTCAATTAACGGTGCCTATTTATTATGTATTGCTTGAAAAAGAGTACATATTTAGGTGGTTGTTGAAAAACGTCACTCCTAACGTATATGAGAGATGAATATGGCGGGTTTAAAAGTGAGATTAGAGATAACGAAGCTTTGACGTGGTCATAGTGAGCGGTGAAAAAATGCGAGTTAGTGTAATTCGAGAGAATATAACTAGTACATTATTGTAGTTGCTCGAGAGAGAATTATGATAAGCCGAGTGCTCACGATCAGTAGAGAATAATTAGGCGAAATTATAAAAGATG